CAAGGATCTGCCATCTAGCCAGCTTCCTGACTCCTGGGACCACAGGCACACATGGGTAGGCGTGCCAGCACATGTTAGGAAGTGCTGTGTGTGTGTGAGTTGTGGAGCCAAAAGGAAGCAGAAGCAGGTCAAGGGGCCTGCTCAGTCTGATGGTGGTACTGTTCCAGTGAGTCAGTAGGGAGCCTGCTCCCAGGACGTCAGCACACCCCACGTTCAGATGTCTGCATGGGGACTTGAAGCCCAGGAAGAAATGCCAGGAAGCATAGCGCCTCTCAAGTCAGTCAAGGCCTGGGCTGAGTCCGCCCCTTGGCAGGGTTCTGTCGCCCAGCTCGGCAGGATGTCTCCCGAGCAACACCTCTCCTGTCAATCAAGGGACCACCCAGCTGCTTCAGCAGCTGGCACAGTGGAAAGGCTGCTGAGCGGAGCAGCCCGCAGCCGGCTTCCTCTCCTGTCTGCCCCAGACTCCTCTGGAAGGCAGGCTGTGGAGCAAGCCCTGCTCAATCACTTCCTTAACATCAGGGCTGATGCAAGAGTCTGTGAGCTGGGGTTCAGGAAACAGCCATCCAAACCCACAGAGCAGCCGTGACCACAAAGGAGATGAAGAAATAGCTAATTGTTTGGGAAACCATGAATCTCATCGGGGTTGAAAGGCTTTGCGACTTCTGAGATTGCGTGTGCCGGCAAGGTGGTGCTCGCAAGCCAGCCCTCCCCCTGGAGTAGCAGGTGGGAACAGAGGCAGCAAGGAAGGCTTCCCCCACAGGCCCTGTCCTCACATCACAGGTCACACAGTTCCCCCCCCCCCACTGTGGACGAGATTCCCAATTCCTGACCGGACTTCAGGAGACCTTACCCTCATATGCCAAGTGACTGAGTAGTTTCTAACCCTCCCATAAATTCACCTTCTAGATACTTCTATGCACTTGCTCACAGCAGAGTCCCCCCCCCCACACACACACAGGATGCCCTACATGTGTATCCATATACTTCCAATGCCAGGGTAAGTCCATCTCCTAGGCACAGACACCCGGGCTATGCTACACTCCTGGCCACTACATCTGCTCTTGTGTTCTGGGCATTTGAAGTCTTCCCTTTATCCCAGATGACCCCAGGAACACATGCCTCCTTCCTTCATTCCAGATTCACTACCTGCCAAGAAAGAAGCCCCTCAGGATCCATTCGAGGCCTAGACCCTGTCTTAAGTCTCCTCTAATGAGAGCCATTGGCCCAGCTGTGGTACTTGTGACTCAGAGGTTGCCTGGGGTGACCAGTATGGCGTGCATATGTGTCTTTGTCCATTCAGTCCAACCCTCCTCCTGACTACTTGCCGTGGACCGAATTCTCTCTGATCTCCAAGTTCATACTGTGAGCCATTAGTCTTTGTGTGATGGCATTCGAAGATGGGGCCCTGCAGTCTGGGGATGAAGCTAAGAGATTGAGAGCTTCCCTAGCATGCACAAGACTCTAGGTTCCATGCCAAGCCTCACAAAATACAAGATGAGGCTGGCGTGAGGGAACAGTGCCTTCCCAAGAGCCCCAGGGGCACTTTGTATGTCTCTCTTACAGACGCAGCAGAAAGGTTTCTCTATAAACCCAGCAGAGCCCATCACAGAGCTGGCCACACTGGTACCCTGATCTTGGGCATTCAACCCCCAGAAGTATGAAGAGATGGATGTTTGTGAGATCTCGTTACACGACCTGACTGACGGCCACAGTCTCAGGAGGCCTGTTTTGCCTAAGTGATTCCTCCATAATGTCCCGAGCCATGCTCACTGGCAGGCATCAAGGTTAAGGGGCTGCCAGTTCAGGACCACAGGGCTAGCCTGTGACAAGGTTTACCTAAAGGGTAGGTGCTCCTGCCCCCCCTGCATCGCCTGTGCGCATCTTTGCCCATCTTCCCCCTCCTCTGCCCCTGGCATCTTCACGGGCTTCCCGCTCTCTCCAGCTAGCAGCCTCACTTCAGCTGTCCATCCACTCAGCCGTCACACTCCCAGGAAGGGAATAACTTCAGTACAGGGCCACAGGAAGGGGGAAGAAGCTCATAATTCAGGACAAGCACCACAGGGAGACACTGTTCGAAGCCAGTCTGCTGGGGTCCAAATCTGCCATGTCCTTTTTGGGATTATCCCAGGCCACCTCTATAAAGGTAACAACAGCCATTCCTAACTTCAGGCTTTGGAGGCGCCTGTGGTGGCAGCTAGGACCCAGCCAGCATGCTGTCACAGTCATGGGGTATGGGAGGGGGACAGGGGGAGGAGAGAGCCCATCTTCTCAGCCTCCTTCCCCACAACACGGGAACCCATGAAGAAGATGGCGGTTCTCAGCCTACATGCATCTCACATGGGTCCTCTTCCTTCAGAGGGGGAGGGTCACAAGTACAAATCACATCCTGCCCCCAAGGAGCACCAGCTGCCTCAGGCTGACCACGTGTGGATAGAATTCTGAGTCACCCAGTGCTGCAAACCAGAGGCCCCGGGAAGCTAGCTCCAGCAGCAGCCAGCAGCCAGACAACTTACATGCAAGGCTCAGAGCTTCTGAGAAAAGTACCTTGCTCCAGACTGTCGCCGGCTCTCAGGATGAGTAAACCCAGCAGCTCTGAGCCTCCAATTTCAAGTGAGCCAGAGGTGCTAGCCAGGCACTGGCATCCTGCTGGGTGGGAGTGGGTGGAGCAGTTTGCACCAAGCCCCGAGGTGGTGAAGGAACCACCTACCTTCAGCTGTGCCCTAGGGGGATGTACATCTGCAAGATCTAAGCAACACAGGACAGTGCTGTGGGGCCCAACCCGGGCACCCTCTGACCCCAGGACAGTGCTGTGGG